CCCGACTTTGTCTACATGTTCCAGATTTTAGGACCCTTTTGGTGCTCCAGGAGATCAGCATCCAACAGAGCGTTGTGTTCAAGGTCAATATCATCCTTAAGTGCATTTGATCATTGAAAATTTTGTGAGACCATAGTGAGACCTTTTTATAAATTAACTGCAGGAAGACAATGGACGGGCAAACCACATAATATGTCATGGACAAAATCAAATAGAGTAAATACATTTTTGCATAGTGATTATAAAATGTAGATTTTCGGGTGTATTCACGCCTTGTTTGGTTCGATTGAATCGAACTCTAGTTCGTTTCCCCCCTTGGTGCGGACCTTTTGGGCAGGTGTGAATACAGCAATCGAACTCGGGTGCGGGCCAAACAACCGAACCGAGACCCAGCTGAAGAGGTCTCGGTATGGTTCCAAACGAACTCTGGTACGGTTCGTTTACGGTGTGAACATGAACCGACCCAATTGCAAGAAAGCACTGCGCCTTTGAGTTAACAGGCTTCCGTAGTCGGAGATTTTGGCATAATGGTTTGTGTTATTGTTGTTCAAGTGCGAAAGAGAATTCCATTCCGGCGCGCTGTCTGGCCACACGATACTGTTGCGCGTCTTTCTGCGCGTCGTGTGTGCATCATTGGAATGGAATGAATGAATGAGTGTGTGCATCAGGACATTCACACACAGAGCGTTCTCTTTAGTCTAATCGCGCATAGATGAAAAAAAAGCTTTTGCAGTTCATATAATGTAACGATATCGTAAGCGTTAACATTGACAGCACTTGTTAGCAGTATATACAATTAGAATCTCATTATTTGAATGTGTGAACTACCCCCTCTCTATGAATGAAAACTTTATATCTTATCCGTCTTCTGCGCAGTTTATTGCGTTTGTACAGAATAACACAAAATTAGTCAAATAACATATTGCAGTACGAAATATCTCCATGCTGAGCCTTTTTTGCACTTCCTGATTTCCCTACTTGAGAATCCTTGTCCAATGAATGGACGACCTTAGCACACGTGTGGTTTTGTTTACAAATTTTGGTTCACTTGCAAAAAGAGCAGTGTGAAAGCGAACCGTACCAAAAAACAAAAACAAAAAAAAAAGATTTGGTCCGGACCAAAGCAAGTGAACTATCGGACTTTCCTGGTGTGAATACGTCCCTTTCTCAACAATGCATTGTTAATGTGAAAAGTCTTTTGATAATAATGAGATTACCGCAACATATTTGTTTCCCTATAAAAATGTGATAGTTGCACTTTCTAACAACAAATATATCTGGTCAAACTTTCAAAAAGTACTAACTAGCCTCATTTCTTTTAAAAAGAAATTACACAAAAGGTTTTGCTATCTTGTTAAAATAGTTTGCTTATTTTTATAAAAGATGAACATTACAGGGTGGACAAAGGCTTTAATGGGCAAAGAGATCAGGAACATCAAAGAAACAACAGGAACAGCAAGAAATATATATGATGCTCTAAATATTGTAATGATTACAACCTGACAGAAACTAAAACCACTCACTTGATTCATTAAAAACCATGTAGGCTATTCATTCAGTAATACAGCTGTGTGTTTCTCGGAGATAGCCTACACAAAAGTTCAGCTGTGGCTTTGTTTGGAAGTATTTTTGTTGGCGAAATAGAGCAAAAACAGACAATATTGACACTATTGTGTTTAAAATGTAACAAAATAGTTTATTTAACTGTTGTATAAAATCTGTATCATATTTGCAATTAAGCAGATATTCGGGAAAACTGCACTTTTGCTCGTGTGATTGCTTTACTATATAATACAAGAAAAAACAGGATCACTGAAATAATATTTTATAATAGTATACATTAAATGTTATGTTCTGTTCTATTATTCTTTCTTATTTTGCCCTCAAATCTTGCATTTTAGGCGTATTCTAACTGCATTCTAATCACACAGTGTATCCTGATAGCTTTGCATCCTGTTTATCACTAAGCAACTGCATTGACGTAAGATGGTTTACGGGTCTAGGCCAGGATGCCTACACATGCATTAATCATTTCAACGTTATTTTTTTCCATAATTAATTGCTCCAATTAACGTGTTAAATCGACAGCCCTAGTGAGAACATTATCAGAATTTGGCAAAAACTTGTGGCAAAAACGCACATGTCCTCCCTGTCATGGAAGGCTTGGTGACAGGGTGGACATTTTTGACTAAAATTAGCATTTAATGAACACATGGTGTACCTTCAGTTAGCAAAGTGATTCATTGTTGAAGCTGACATGTGTACTGTTTAAAATATGTATTTTGAACTTTTTAAAGTTTTCATATTAATTAATGTTTTACTATGACAGGTTGGACATGCTAAAAGCCTGACAACATCCTACAAACACAATATGATGAAAATTAGGAAATATAGGTGTAGATACAGAAGACCAAATGGGGGTGGGAATGTCACTGAGTACATTTGTGGGTTTCTAAAAGGGGCAGTTATCCCATAATGACAGGGTGGACAGCAATTTTGGGGAAACATGTAAAATGTTTAAAATTATTGTGAAAATATCATATAAATAATCAAATTAACTTGTTTTATCAAACAACTTGTTGAGGAAAATAGGAATATTTAAAAAATTTGTGTCAATTAACCACTTTTTACACTTAGGCCTACTGAATTTAGCTGAGCAGAGTGTGGGACCTGCAATCACATATCGTAGCCTACATCTAATTAAAGAAAATGGTATAAAATGAGATAACTTTTTTTTAAGAGATTTATCATTGTAGCTACTTATATGTGTGTGAGTGTTTGGTCATTTATCAGAAAACCTCAGAATTTCATTATTTTGCATTATGTTCATGATGACTGAGTGATTCTGATGAGGGCACAAAAGGCACTTTATGATTTTGACCCAAAAATAAGAGAAAATAATAGATCACAACATAACATTTAATTTATATTATAAAATAATATTTCAGTGATCCTGCTTTGTATGAACTATATAGGTTATCAGTGGCTATAGTGAGCTCTTTCGACCGACTTGTGAAGCCGTCCGCTAAAAGGTGCATTTTGGTGATGAATTTAGTTCGGGCTTGTTCCCATGGTGCGAAGTAAACGGTCTGGAAAAAATGAGTCCGCTTTATGGAGGCGTTGGCATTAGCAACCCAGTTTTTTTTTTTTTCTGGCGGATGCGCCCCAAACTTGAGAACCGCTTGAGAAGGCTATGTGTAACTGCGTACGAGTAAAGAACGAAGCATACTTTGGGAAACGGCATTGTGAGGCTTACTTTGTGAGGTAAGTTATTCTAGAAGTCATCAGAGCCAGTGCATCAAATCTGATTAAGCTGTGAACATTTGTTTTCTGTAGGCTACTACCATTTTAAAAACAGAGAGCAGTAAAGGAATTAAGATGCATGTGATTTACAATTCTAGTATAGAATCAGCTAAAATAGCCTACTTTATGAAATTAACTTTGTAACCTTTACTGTAGATATAGAAAATAATGCAAAATAAGACACTTTACATCATCCTCACTTTATAAGCTATAGGCCTACTTCAGTCATCATTTTTTTCATGTCGAAGTTTCAAAGTGAGTTGCTTTTAAAATTCAAATGCGAATAAAAAGCCACAAATGTTTGGTTCTTCGTGGTTTAAACACCTAAATAGCTTTTCTTTTTTTCTCTCTCTCAAATTCGGCATTTTCCTTTAGGGCTAAATAAACATCAAATGTAAGGATAATAATTAAAAGAGCAAAAAGTTTAGGTAACACTTTACAATACAGGTGCACTAATATGCATTAATTCATGTTTAACTAATGCACAGATAATCATGAGTTAATGTATGACTCATGAAGAACTAAACCATTAATTAATTATTACTGCATAAGCAACTAATAAAGAGTCTATATGATTAATAGATTAAGTAATACATGAATTGCTATTAATTCAATGTGTTATTGTGTATTAATTCCTTAATAACATATTTTATTAACTAATAGTGTAAATTAATGTGTTAATTACCACAATTAGTCAAAGCTATGCACTTCAACTACCAGTTGTCTGCTTTAATTCATCATTAGCTAATGATTTGCAAAGGTATCATTATGTTATGACTTTACTTGTTGAGGCACATGACTATTAACTAATTGTTAAGTATGTAATTATGGTTATGGGTAAAGTGTTACCGTAATATTTTATGGAAATGTGTTTTTGGAAAGTGTTTAATAAACTGCTTTTATAAACTCTAGTGATGGTCATTAATGATAAATAAATCATTAGCTAATGGTTTTCAAGTATATAATTATGTTGTGACTTTACTTGTTGAGGCACATCATTATTAGTCATTTAGTAATTGTAGTAATTTACACATGAATTTGCGCTAACAATGAAGTAATTAATCATGTATTGATGCATATTAGTGTACCTGTATTATCTGGAAGTTGAAATACAAGGCTTTGGCTCATTCTGGTAATTAACATATTAATTAATTACACTATTAGTTAAAAAAATGAGTTATTAGGGAATTAATCCACAATTACATATTTAATTAATAACAATTCATGTATGAACTAATACATTAACCTTACAGACTCTTAATTAGTTCCTAATATGGTCATCATTAATGAATAGCTTAGATAATCATTAGTTACACATTAATTCAGTATTATCTATGCATTAGTTAAGCATGAATTAATGCTTATTAGTGCACCCGTATTGTAAAGTGTTACCAAAGTTTATATTGAAAAAATAAGGGAAGAGAAGAAAAAATTCTGCTAGTGTTGTGCTTTATGGGCCTTCCAGTTCTGCCTGTCAGAGAAGTACTTAACAGAAGTAATCTCAGCAATGTGCTAAAAAAATAAGCGAATAAGCGAACTTCTGTATCCCTTGTGTGGTACTAGTGTCATGTTTTTCCTCAGCCACTGCATTCATTCTTAGAAATATGCTAAATTACATCACTTTAAATATATTTGGATAAATTGCATGTTGTTCTCATTACAGAATTCTACTTCCTATTCAGTTCTAACAAGGCATAATGGATTCAACTGAACCAGATCATGACTACAGTGCTACTTTGGAAGAGTTTACAAATTACTCAAAAGAAAATACAGTTTCTGTGAATTTACATGCTGGAAACTGCAGGGAAGCAGGATGTGTAATCACAGTTATTTTTAATGTGATCATATTCCTGCTTGGCATCATTGGAAATGGTGCTGTGATCTGGATTACTGGTTTTAAGATGAAGAAGTCTGTGAACACCACCTGGTACCTGAGCCTGGCTTTGTCTGACTTCATTTTCTGCGCTACTCTGCCTTTCCTCATGAGCTCTATAGTTACTGCCAGCTGGATTTTTGGGCTCTTCATGTGCAAGTTCAACTCTTTTGTCATGACCCTCAATATGTACAGCAGCATTTTCATCCTGGTCATCATTAGTGTGGATCGCTGCATCACAGTCAAGTTTCCTGTCTGGGCCCAAAATCAACGCACTGCAAAGAAAGCTTCTTTAGTTGTTGTGATGGCTTGGTTCATGTCTGCTTTGCTTAGCATTCCATCTGCCAAATTCAGAGAAATCAATACAAATCAAACATCAACAGTCATATGTTATAGCAACTATGAGGATCACCACAGAACCGTTGTGTTCATGCGTTTTACTTTTGGCTTTTTAATTCCGTTCCTGACCATTTCCACCTGTTACTCCATCCTGATCTGTAAACTTAGAGCAAACCAAATGTCCAAATCCACCAAGCCCTACAAGATCATGACATTACTGATTACAACTTTTTTCATCTGTTGGTTGCCATTTCACATTATATCTATTATAGAGTTGAACAAATCTAAATATGCTCCACACGATGCCATCTTTCACGCGGCCCAACAATTATCTGCAATTCTTGCCAATGCAAACAGCTTTATAAACCCATTCATTTATGCATTCATGGCCAAGGATTTGAAGAAATGTTATTTCTTTCTGTCAAAGATCGAGAGCGCCATTGATGAGGAGACCCGAAGCGCTAGTGATAACCGACTTTCCACTGCTGTCTGAAATTATAAAAAACAATTCTTCGACAAAAGATATTTCTCTTTATTCTCTTCTAAGTCTGACTGGAGAATGGCCTATATAAAATACTGAACATTAACAAGTTTTACAATTGTTTGTTTGTTGCATGTTGGAGTTCAGAAATTTACAAGTAACGCAAAAAGTCAAGAGTAAACAAATGCAAACAGATTCAATAAAGGTAACTTTCTACAAAAGTTTTGTACATTAAAATGCCATTTTGCTTAATGATTTTGCATAATTATGTGATAACTATTAAATCTTTACTGTTATCTTCTTATGTGCATGTTACTAATCAACACATATCCATTAATATATGGAGTGGGGCGACTGAATCCATTGAGCATCATTTGACAAATCTTGTCATGCATGTCTTTCTCTCTCTCTGTTTTTCTAAAATATACTTTAAATTTACAATGAAAAATCTTGTTCTAACAATTTCCCTTAAGTGTTTGTAATTTTCTTAATTTCAGAAAGACACTTTAGCTTATTCCATTTTTTTATAGTAAGTATGATGTGGAACTTTCAATTTTAATACTTCCTGCTTATAAGCTTTACAAAAATGTGTTTGCGTGTATCTGGTAAGATGTTTTTCTTGGAAACTCTTTAACATGTTGCTACATTTACCCTTATTATTGTTACATTTTGTATTTATAGAGCTGATTTGCAGTTTTCATTCAAAAGCACTTTTCCTAACACAAAATTAGTCAGGGATGCAGCCAGGGCTGCTGACTGCAACTCAAATGACCATAATGTAACAAAATACAAATTTATGACAATAAAAATCAAGCTGTCATGGTGTCCATATTCTGATTCATCATCATCATCATCATCATTATTCAATGACCAGACAAAGCGATTCACAAATTCACTGTTGAGTTAGCAGTTTGGTTCAGAACACCCAGTTATTTAGTTGCAGTCCTTAGCCACTTCTGATCATCTAGTAGTGGTTACAACTGCTGAGTACAAATGTCTGACTAGTGTCTAGAAATGAAATCCTACCACATATGACATATGAGACAGTATTTGTATGTTAGTGAGTCGTACTGTATGCTGTGTCGGATCTCAGTTGTTAAGACCGCAGTAACTTTATCACAAAGACACTTAGTTTACCACTGAATGAGCTTTGAGCATTGGCCAATTAAGTGCTGTTCATATCTCACTTCCCCTGAAAACACAAGATAAGTAGAAGATCTCCTGACAGATTTGTGGTACCTTGGGAGCCCTGAAACAATGAAAGATGAAGATGAAAAGTTTGTAAGGAAGTAAGGAAGGAAACTTGTTGCAATTTCCTGAAAGAGTGATAAAACCTATGAATTCTAACTCGTCTAGGAAGTTGCAAAACAACCAGCATTTACAATACTATGTAAACTGAGCTGCAAAGAGATATTTAAAGGTGAAGCGTGCAATTTTTGCACCATTAGCAACCAACAGAATTCCAAAAAGTATGTTTTGAGGTTCGTTTTCCAGACGATTTATACTAAATCTATAAATGAATTAAATAAATCTATAAATGAATGTTGGGCCTCTGAGAATTTGGGGCTTTACAATTTATTGACCAGGACATATGCTTCAAGCACTAAACAAGAGCAAAGTCTTTCCTCATATCCACAGTTCTCTCAGCTTACAATTATAATACAAATCTTTAATTTCCTTTGCACTGCTGGCAATCACCCTCTGATTTTCTTATTTGGTAGAAATTCCTTACATTCATTCCATACAAAATACATTCAGAAAGACACTTCAGGTTTGTTCCTTTTTTAAATGAAAAGCATGTAATGCTCAAATTTAAAAGCCTTTTCAAAAATAGAGGTGTCTTTGAAAGTAATTCTCCATGTGAGCATTACAAAAATATATATATATATGTGTATTTACATATATTGAATGTTATTTGTTAGGACTCTAGCTGAAAAGCAGAAGCTTACCCACGAGGTGCTTTCTTTGTCTCTTTTTAGCACATTGCTTCGTACTCACTTTCACCCCTGAATTCTAGATTATTTTATAGATTATAATGTTGATTTTCTGTTTTGAATACAAAAAAACTTCTGTAATTAAAACACTGAAAACAAAGAACAATTCTGAACATTTCTACAGGGAACAAGTTTACAATTGCATCCAAAACCTGACTTAATTTGGGAATTATTTGGTTTTTGAGTCTTCTCAGGTGTGTCAAAGAAAATGGGAAGCTATTCAATGCACGGTACATACTGTACTGCAACTATACTCATAGTCTAAACCGGAACATAAACTGGTGAAGAAAGGGGTTTTGCTTAAAGGGATAGATCATCCAAAAATGAAAAATTTGTCTTCATTTACTCTCCTTCATGTTGTTCCAAATGTTTTAAGAATCAATACACAACTCTTCTCATATAAGGGCTGTGTCCATAGTGACAATTTCTGTCAATAAAATAACAGAATTTTCATCTTTGGTTGAACAACAGCATCCCTTTAATAGATTACTATAATTGTGTTGGAGAAAAGGAATAAATGGTCAGTCAATGTGATATTTTAAGCAATTTACAAGACACCATTTCTTTTACTTTGTGAACACAAGATGAATAGTTTTTTTTTGATTGCCCACTGCAAATATATTTTAAAACCTCAGTGAAAATCGAAAGGTAAATCATTTAATTTGAAGAAATGATCTCAACATAAAAGTGCTCTAAACACACAGCAGAAACAGAAGAACTTGGTTGCTTGCATCTAATTCAAAAGCCCTATAAATTATTATATCTGCAATTTGCCTGCGAATCACTGAAGGCAGGTACCAGACAACATGTTTTTTGAGTTGTCCATGCATTTATCTAATACACGTGGTATAGCTTGAGGATTTTTGTTGTCCATATATCATTTCTACTGATCGGTTTTAAGAAGCATCATAATCTGAAGGCAATGTCCACATATTTTTGGGAACAGGAAGCTGGGGTTCCGATGTAAAACATTAAATCGCTGTCCATATATTCCCAATGATACTGGAGTGCTTAATGGATCATAGTCCAGTAGTGGCAGGAAAAGCAAATTCAATGAAAAACAGATGTGATGTGTCCATCTAAATGGTTGACCCGGATGTCTTGGTGGCAACAGACATTTTCATCAAAAGCAAGAAAGGTCATTGCCCGTGGTGACAAACTGAATTTGTGGTTACGGCACACTTAAATTGGCCTAAAGAAGATGGATCCATGGTGGTTAAACTTAAAGCCAAGTAAACTGGAGCCAAATTGTTGTCTTAGTAGTGTATCTTTAGATTCTTCACGATAGGACGAACAGTTTTCAAGCAGTACTTTTGTGCAAACTGAATGGAAGATGACGATAAACAATTTTATATTCTAGGGGGAAAAAGTGTATAGCTGAAAAAAAGGGGGAAAAAATGTGTGTGAAAAAAAAAGCAAATGTCAGAAGATGAGTATCATCTGGGCATGTACTCCTTAGGTACACCAGACAGGTTTCTCTTTCTGAGTGCCGTGTCCACAGTCTTAATAAGCCCGTCAATGGTGACACGCATTTCAGGCGTGTAAGGGTCATAATCCAGCTTTCTGAGCCCAGAGCGTTTAAAGTTCCCATCTTTCTGTCCTTCCACACACAGCAGGCGGTCCTCTGACACTTCCAGGCCCAGAAAGATGACCATGCTTTTTAGGTGAGAGAAAAGGTCCCGTTTTAAATCCTCAAAGTGCACTACTTGAACTTTCTTCCCATATTTCAGCCAGTCTAGTGTGTGGGATGCCCACCATGGAGCGTAGTTCTTCACAAACTCTGGCCACTCTGAGAGAGAGAGAGAGAGAGAGAGAGAGAGAGAGAGAGAGAGAGAGAGAGAGAGAGAGAGAGAGAGAGAGAGAGAGAGAGAGAGAGAGAGAGAGAGAGAGAGAGAGAGAGAGTTTAACTTCTTGAAATATAACATCTTACAATAAAAACATTCTGTCCCATGGTGCCCAAAATTTAGTGCATTAGAATACCTTTACACATTTGTAGACAAGTGACAGCACCACACAAATGTTACAGACATCGACAAACTCAACTTGATGGTTTTGTGAAGGCTGGAATAGTGGAGCGACATAATTATAGTTCTAATTACTGATAGCACTTTTCTGAAATGATACATTAAGCAAAAGTCAATCATACTCTGAATTGATGCACTTATTCGTTTGCAAGTAATAGTCATTTTCTGCTGCTTATCTTCAGTCGAGAGAAAGAAAAGCAATAGCTAATAAAGAGCTAATGTCTTTTTTTTCCACAGTGATTAAAATTACCATAATCATGAGGAGAGAGGATGTAAAACAATAGAAAGGAAGAAGCAAAAAATGCTGATTTTATTTTTGATGCTTCTGCATTTCGGTTAGTGTGACGCATCAGAAAGGCACGTCAACAAGAACAGTGCAACAACAACTGAGGAACACGTTTCAAAAAAAGACGATAAAGACAAAACACTTGTCATTAAAATGTCAGAAACCTAATCAAAAATGAAACAAATACAGAATGACAAAGTCCACATTTCGAAAAAAACAAGACACCAAAATGTCACAAGCATCTGCTTCTCTCTGGGGAAAAAAATATTGTAAAGAAGCAGAACAAGAATCAAACGTTGCTTAAAAATGGACTTTGTTGGGGTAGAGGAATCTTTGCACAATCTATTCACTGACTGTACCACTGCTCACAAACAAATGCAACATCATTTTTGTAAAATTATTTTAATGCAAGAAAAATGTGTCTTCTTGGTTTAATAGTTATAACGATTAACCATTAAAAAAGTAACATGTATTTGGTGCCTAGTAAAAGAGTACCTAAAAATAAGCATCAGTTTTCAGGAGGTTTCAGAGTTAAAAAGGGAAAAAATTCTTAACAAAACCACATTAAACACATTAAAGTCATGGCTGTTTGTGTCTGATGAGGGCATGCTTCTGACCGCAGCAGATTTACCCTCAAATTGACGTCAACGTCAAGAACAAAGCAGAAGTTCTTATGATCATTTACCCCAATGATAATCTTCCAAACTAGACATAGACACAGATCATTTCACAAGTTCACACTTACATATAATAAATAGAGTAAAGGTTATGCGTATTTGCCGTGCTGTCCGAGGGGAGGGCTCCGAGCTCGGAATTCAATTCACTTCAAATTTATTTGTATAGCGCTTTTCACAATACACATTGTTTCAAAGCAGCTTTACAGAAAGTTCATTTCAGAAATGTACATTGAAAAAATACACATTTATACACAAGAGGTATATACACAAAAAATACACAAAATACATTCGCCCATACCCAGAGTGCTAGTAGCTGTGCCAAGAGGAATCTGAATCTTCCCTTCTGAATCTTGCAGAGCCGGAGATCGTGAGTATTAGCTGTCCATGAGCTAGCAGCGGGAGCAACTTTACAACTCTCTATGGGCTTCTCCCTCGACTTTATGCCTCCACGTCCCCCCGATTACCCGCGAGCTTCTCCTCCTGTCTATACGGTAATTTTCTCTACTGTGCGACAGAGAGTCGCGTGTTATGACGCAATCGTTAGCCTATTTTTACAAAAACTGCTTCTACGGGGCCATTACTTAAGATACAAGGTAATGGAGCCTTTTATACATTGTCGTGTTTCTTTAGAAATAAACAATGGACAAATGGAGTCTTTAAACGCGTCAGATGTAAAGTTATTTGCTGTCAAAGTGACGCAAAGTGAAGGCTTGCTCGCCAATGGCGGCCCCCAGGGAGGCTTCAGTTTCCGGCTGAGTCAGAAAAACTGATCGGTCGATGCCGATATTTAAAAAATGCCAAATATCAGCCTTGGCGATATATCGTTCGACCACTATAGGTAACAAGATTAATTTGGAAGCGAGGGTTTACAGATCACTATGCAAGCGGGAGAAGCCTCATGGTATGGTCGTCACGATGCCAGATGGCTGTTTTTGAGCCATCCGGTGTTTTTGACCTACTGTACATGACTAAAGAACAGTTAACTTTAGCTATTTATGTTTGAACGTTAGCATGGACTCACTAACTTTCATTGTAACTTAATGAGAGTATGACAACCAGAAAATGAACGTTTTCGTCTTCATTTGGATTGGGGTTGAATCCTTAGGGAACCAGGTTACTGCGCTCACATCATTGATATTATAAATAAACCGGGCTTCAGTCGTATTGAGCAGATAATTTGTCCATTCGCGCAAATCTTCACTTTTGACACACGCTGGTGAACGTGCGCAGTACGGTGATTCAGTACATGAATGTGCATGCCCATCCTCTCAGTACCCCAGGCACATCGTTTTACCATTTTTGTAGCATAAACACTATCAAACCGATGAGAGCTTTGGATCTTCCAATGTTTCTCTATGGCGCTGAAACCTAAAGATGTCCGAGTTCCGGACCTCGTGCAACTGACACTCAACTGCCATTGGCTCATCTGCGTTCGATGGGAGGGGCTTACCGATAGGTCAATTGATTACTGAATGTGCTCCTCTTTTGGTAATTAGGTTAATTATCTGAACGTGCTCCTCCTGAACTTTGTTAATAAATCATAATATAGCGATGAGCTCAGCGATGAGTTGAGAGAAATGTTGATAAAATATGTTTGAAGTTTCATTCAGTGTGGAAAAATATCTATAAAACAGTTCCATCTAATTAAGATGTTCTATTTTATCTAATATTTGTGAATGTGGTGTATTTTGTATGCTTTTCAGAGTATTGCACCATTCGCTCAGCAATATGTTTACGTCAAACCACAGAGGACATGGACATATTGAAATGTGGAAAATGATCAATATGGTGGCAGTAGAAAAGAAAGTTAATAACACCAGTTAATATGGTTTTATGCTTCATGTGAGTAGCGCTGTTTGTGTTGCACACTAAATAGAGCTATCACTAGCTTTAATTTCTCACCTTTCCCCCTCCAGTGAGCTTGAGAGGCAAATCCAATATGGCCGCCATACTTTCGGTTAAATTCAGCCATGAGCGCTTTATAAGGGTTCCGGATCATAAGGATGCTAGCGTCAAAGGTGTCAATCTCCTTCCTGCCACTCTCATGGGTCTTGATACATATGGTTCTACCGCTGCGCCAGTGATCTCTCTCCCCTTTGAATCCTGCATATTCAAAGAGTTCAACAAGAGAGGAAGACCATGAGCAAGCAAGAGAGAAATAAAATGGCTTTATGGAGAACTAAAAGATAAATGAACCTTTGTTGTACAGTGAGCCATCAAAGTAGTAGCTCCCGGTGTAGTGCCCCGTGGCCAGTTCAATAAGGTGACGGGCCCAGGTATTCCCCGCTCCTGGGAAACTAGCTAGTGCCATTAGATGCTTGGAACGAGTGGGTAAAAAGCGCCGGTCCATACAGCGATTATCTGTAGACACACATCAGACCAAACATGAGATATTGTGGTGAAAAATATCCTTAGTCTCATTAAAGTTTTCTTAAAATTGCTCGAAAAGCATGTATACTAGCATATATGTTCTTAAAACTAACATATATGGATTAAACCCACAACAATGATGGTCTTTAATCACAGAATCATTCTTTAAAAGACAGGTAAAATGTCTCTATCAGGTTTGAGTGGTTTGATAAACAGTGGGAAGGCTTATAATGCACACATCACCATGAACATATGCTGCTATTTTTATTAAGTGAGGCAACTTGATCTAAGAAACTGCTCTAGAAAACAATCTGATTCAGTCTTTTCAAATGTTTTCTTGCTTAGATTTCAATTTCGGTTTGAACCAGTTCATGATGAGCATTCAGAATTTGAACCACAGAGGAGATGACAATCAGTCTGAGGAGGAAATTAAATGAGTTTGTACTTTGAATGGGGAGCAGGGCCAGATATAATGGGGTGAAAGGTGGGAATGATTCTAGGGGTCCAAAATGATTGTAGTATTTAATTTAGTATTTAATTTAATGTATTTTAAGCCAAATACTATACCTCATACTAAAATAATGTGCTTGTGTTATTTCAGCATTATAAATACTATTATATATTATATAATATTTAAAAGTTAGTTTAATACTTTATATATTTTGTATTCATATATTTACAGAAGGAAAATATTTATAGTAATTTATAGTAAATATTTATAGAAAGGGGCCAGTCTATAAATGTCAAAATACACCATATTAAAAGTATAGCTACAAAATGCAAACATTATGTGTGGTAACATGATTTTAGAGTGATAAAATAGCTTACTAACCTTATCTGTGTAAAGTTATATATGTAATATCTTATATTACAAGGACAATATTTGTTGCGATTTTGCCTTAGTGGTTATAAACTTACACAGATAAAGTTTATCAACATTATGCTCCAAATGCTTAACTTTTATTGAACCAGTAACCAGGATTTCTTTAAAAACTGGAATTTCCCCCTCCCTCAAAGTGAACCGAGTGTGTGTGTATGTGTGTGTCTTTGTTTTTTTTTGTTTTTTTTTGGCCGAGTGCATGTTTGTGTTTCGGAAGAAGGCTCTGCTTGCATAGCAGAGCAGTTGCATCATTTAAGTGTTGCAAGTGTGCATTTGTTGAAATTATATCATGCATATGCATATGCATTTATATATATATATATATATATATATATATATATATATATATATATATCAATCATGCATTCAGAGATATCTGCAATCGATTTAATGTCATATTTACATGTGTGATCGTCAACTTTGACCACTCTTGAAAAAAAAAAGCAAACTGTAATAAAGGAATCACATTTTTTGTGCTCACTGTGACAGCGAATTTAGAGGAAGTGAAGAAGAAGTGTGAATTTTGCAAACGTGAGGGTCGGCAACTTTATTAGTGATAAGAAGCCTCAAAAGCAGTACAGGAAGGGCAATGTTTGTGCTTCTGTAAACTGACATGTTTGTGCTTGTCCTAAACAGTCAAACCCGTATGGTAATAAAATCCTTGTGTGCTGCCTGTGCGTTGGCCTGAGCCCGCTGTTTTAGTACAAACAAGGTCATGTTACCTTGCACTTGGGTCTGGTACACTACAAAGAAGTCATTATTTCCGCAGCTCTCAAAGTCTTCCCCTACACATCGCTGGAGACACAGTTCCTCATCCTCACGCTCATGCAGAGTGAAGAGAGGAGTTGGAAAACCACAGTGACATTTTTCGCCACCCAAGGCAGCCAGAGAGAATTCCTATGCCAGACAAAGGAAGAGATCATTTAAGACACACTCGCATGAACACTGTAGTATGAGAGACACCAGATGCATATCATGCATACATACTCACTTTCTCAGTGCACAAGTCAACACACTTGTCCACTGACATGTTCTGAATAACAGCACTAGCAGGAAGCGCCAGGGTCACGTTATCTGGCCTCTTGAAACATCCCTTGAAGATGGCACTTCCATCTTAAGAGCAAAATAAACAAGTACATGATTTTTTTAAAATGTAAAAATAACAAAAACAACTACATTTTAGTATTTTCTCAAGGAAATATGAGTGTCGCTTGCTCGAGAAAATCTCACTCGCATGATGTCAGGGTGTTCTGGGTAGTTTCCAGAACGACACTATGCGGTTGCTATGAGGTTTTATAGCAATGTACTTCAATTCAACGAGAAACAAAAACTTTCTGCCAAGACTGCCATTATAAATAGTATAAATAGCATCTAACACTATTTAAGCTTAGTGCAAAGAAAATACTGTTTTGGTATTTAAACAGTGTAAAATACCATCTAACACTACTTGCACTTAGTAGAAATAGTCTTTGCCTTTAATAAAACCGCTGTGGACTTCTTAACTTAATAGATCAAAGTTGTTCCTGGACAACTATTGTATTTGTTGTTTATCACACAACCTCTCCCACACATCCTGTCACATGACAAAAGTGCTTAATCAGGACAAACAGGATGGAAAGTCACAAGTTTCTGCCAGTGCTTGATGAAACATGATGCATAAAGGATGAGGATCATGCCATAAAGAACAGGAAATAGATATGGAATTAATTTTAAAATCGTGTCTTTGAAATCGTAAAATCGAATGCCGTGAGAAACAGCTAAACAATACTGGGAAAAGCCTAGTTTTTAAAACTATAATAAACATACATGCAAATTAATGAGAATGGGAAAACCTGAAATATGCATCAGAGAGATAGAATCTTTCCTCAACCACTGAAGGACAAAGAGTAGAAATCATTAACAAAAACCAGTCCAGTCCACTGAGAGATCAATGGTGGGGAGTCATTTGCCCTTTGCTAACCTGCTCTGATTATTAAAGGGGTGGTTGTTTATGATTTAACTTTTTAAACTTTCGTTAATGTGTAATGTTGCTGTTTGAGCATAAACAACATCTGCAAAGTTACGAAGCTCAAAGTTCAAACCAAAGGGCTTCGGCTTTGAAATAATTTTTTTAAGGACTACAACAAACGGCTGGTATAGGGAATACACAACATTTCTCCCGTGTTAGTGACATCACCAACCCTAAAATTTACATAAACCCCTCCCCCGGGAACGCGATTTATAGATTATCATGACAGATTACAGATTATCATGACAGAATAATTTATAGCTTATCAATGACTAGAAGATAACTACACATAAACTACCTAAATTCTGTTGCATTCTACATGTTGTCACTTCTTATTGAGTTTTTCCATTATTGACTGACTCCAGTTTTGAACATAAACATTGACATTTTCAGTTCATGTCTGTGTGAGGTAATTGAAGCTGCTAAGGACACAAATTGTTGTAGCATTGTCATTGGGGTGGTGATGGCGCAGTGGATAAGACACATGCCTTTGGTGTGAGAAACCTGGGTTCGAATCCACTGCAAGACACCAATGTGTCTCTGAGCAAGACACTTAACCCCTAGTTGCTCCAGAGGCATGCAACCTCGGACATATATAGCAATTGTAAGTCGCTTTGGATAAAAGCGTCAGCTAAATGTACTTCATCTCAACTAATTTAGTAAATTAATGTGAACAAATGAAACCTTATTGTAAAGTTTTAGTTGATCTTATTAATAAAAGCAGATAAACTGTGTGTTTCCGCTTTCCTGAGAGTGACATTAAAGTGTCGAGCCATATCTGTGCGCCTGTCCAAATGTGTGAATGTAAACTTGCTGATGCACATGTGTAAAAGTATCTGTGTGTTAGGGTGCTCACATCGGCGGGCCGACTCCTGGCTCAGCTCCAGTCTGTATATGGACAGTCGATTAGGTCCTCCACAGAGGTTACTCTTCTCCCCTTTACACTCCATATTACATTCACTCTCTGACACGTTGGCCGCCTGGATCTTATGGCCACAGTAGCACTCAGCTCCAAACTCCAGACCCGCATAGAGATAACCCCTAATAACACAGGATGAAGGAAAAACATCTTTATTATGCATTTAGTTGCTATTATGCATTATTGCTGGTACTGCTATATATTGTTGCTGTTCTTGTAGATTATTGCTGCTGCTGTTGATTATTGCTGTTGTTGCATATATATATATATATATATATATATATATATATGTGACCCTGGATCTCGAAACCAGTCACAAGTCGCATGGGTATATTTGTGGCAATAGCCAACAATACATTATATGGGTCAAAATTATCGATTTCTCTTTTATGCCAAATATCATTAGTATATTAAGTAACGATCACGTTCCATGAAGATGTTTTGTAAATGTCCTACCGTAAATATATAAAAGTCAATGGACCCCATTGACTTCCATAGTATTTTTGAAGTCAATGGGGTTACATCAACTGTTTGGTTACTGACATTCTTCAAAATATCTTCCTTTGTGTTCAGCAGAAGAAATAAATTCATACAGGTTTGAAACAACTTGGGGTGAGTAAATGTTAAATGTATAAAATTTTCTATTTGTAAGTGACCTATTCCTTTAACGCAACCTGATGATATTCACAGTTACATCAACTGTCTGGTTACCGACATTCTTCAAAATATCTTCTTTTGCGTTCAGTAGAAGAAAGAAAGTCATACCAGTTTGAAACAACTTGAGGGTGAGTATATGATCACAGAATTGTTAAGTGGACTATTCCTTTAAGCACCCATCAGCCTGCAACATCTAGAGTTTCATGACAGAACGTTCCGGGTTACTTGACTGTAACCCTGTTCCCTGAAAAACGAGATGCAGTGCTGCTTAGCGCATTGGGAACGTCTTTAATCTTGACCTGCTGTGAATATAGTGTGTAGACACGTAGATGGAATCTACCCGGAGGTATTATAGCCTCGGTCGGTGACGTCATTCGGCGCGCACCCGCGACACAAGGCTATAATTAGATGAGCCACAGGTGCATCGTCAGGATATTTTGTCTGAAGAGCAGTCCTGGGACATCATCAGCACGACAATGCAGCGCAGCATCTCGTTCCGCTTTTTCAGGGAAAAGGGTTACAGTCAAGTAACCCAAAACGTTCCCTTTCAAAAGTTACAATCGATGCTGCGCTGCTTAGCGCATTGGGAACGAGAATGCCTACGCCGCCGTGCTTGAAGGTGTCTGGACTCCTTACGGTTGTGTAGGTGTGCTCACAAGAACGCAAGAAAGCCCTAGATATTAGCTTGTGATGTCGACTCAAGGACGTGAGAGCCCGGAGTGGCATGAACATCCAAGCTATAAAATCTTATGAATGTGTGCGGAGAGGACCAGCCTGCCGCATCACAAACAAATTGCAAGGGGGCAACCCTTGCCAAGGGAGCAGAGGAGACGACCCCTCTGGTGGAGTGAGCCCTAAGACCCGTTGGCGAAGCTTGGAAAGAGCAATAGCATCCCTGACCCAATGTGACATGGTCTGTTTGGTGGCGGCAGCACCCCATAACACACGAACAGTTGCTCTGACTTACGCCACTGGCTGGACGGTGGACGTAAGTCTGAAGAGCCCGGACTGGACAAAGTCTGTGAGATCTCTCCTGCTCCGGCGTTGTGAACGGCGGAGGGCAGAAGGCCTCAAGAGTGACCGGATGTACAGCCGAGAAAGGTACCTTAGGCAGGTAATCAGGATGAGGATGCAAAATCACTTTCACCATTCCTAGGGCAAAGTCTAAGCAGGATGGCGCTATTGACAGAGCCTGCATATCCCGATTCTTTTTAGAGAGATTATAGCCATAAGAAAAAAACATCTTTAGGGTCAGAAGTTTGTCAGACGCTGACTCTAGAGGTTCATAGGGGATCTCAACCAGACCCTCGAGGACTATAGCTAAGTCCCACGAAGGGATCTTGGTTCGTACGGGAGGCCTCAGTCGGCTGGCCCCACGAATGAAGCGAGCGAGCAGAGGATGTCTCCCGAGTGGCACCACGTCAACCAAGGCGTGGCAAGCCGAAAGAGCGGCCACATAAACCTTGAGAGTGGCGGAGCATGTGCCTGTTGATAATTTTTCCTGCAGGAAGTCCAGAACTGAAGCAATCTGGCAGTTGACCAGATCTGCATTATGTACGACACACCACCTTTCAAAGACACCCCATTTGTTGGCATAACTCTTTCTAGTGGAGGAGGCCCTAGCACTTGGAATGGTCTCAATAACGGCAGGCGAAAGCCCAGTGTCCCTCAGTTGGTACCCATCAGGGGCCAAACATGAAGGTTCCACAGGTTGGGCCTGGGATGGAATATTGTGCCGTCCACCTGGGACAGAAGGTCCCTCCTCTCCGGAATCGCCCATGGCGAGCCGTGGAGGAGAGATATTATCTCCGAAAACCATACTCTGTTCGCCAAAGCGGCGCTATCAGTAAGAGGCAAGACCCTTGTTGGCGAACTCTGGCTAGAACTCCCGGGAGCAGAGATACTGGAGGAAATGCCTACAGGCGCATTTTGGGCCATGTGTGTGCCATCGCGTCCAGACCCAGGTGGGCTGGGTGACTCAGATAGAAGTAGAGGGGACATTGCGCTGTATGTTGGGAGGCGAAGAGGTCCACCTCCGCTTCATAAAATCTGGTCCAGATCTGTTTTACTACTACTGGGTGGAGTTCCCCCATCTGTAGTTTCTGTCTGTAGAGTAAATCCGCTCCCACATTCAGATACCCCGGAATGTAAACTGCCCTGAGTGACAGGAACTTTTCTTGGGCCCAGAGAAAAATCTGCCTCTCTATTCTGTTTAGATTGCGTGAGCGCAGACCTCCCTGGTGATTTATGTAAGAGACTGCCGCTGTGTTGTACACCCGCACTAGGACGTGACAGCCTCTCAACTGGGGGAGAAAGTATTTCATGGCCAGAAATACAGCCATCAACTCGAGGCAGTTGATGTGCCAATCGAGCTGATGAACCTCCAATTCCCCTTGAGCTGGACGACCACGTAAGACCGTTCCCCAGCCCATCAGGGACCCGTCTGTTGTTAGCAATCTGCGACGACAAGGTGCCCGTAGAGTGGGACCCAAGGCGAGGAACCAGGGTCTGAGCCACGGAGATAGTGTACGAAGTGTGTACGTCACTTTTATTTGCCTTTAAGGATTGGCCCTTGGATGAATTCCCCTGGCTTTTAGCCACAACTGAAACTGTCTCATGTGCAACAGCCCCAAAGGAATTACCGTGGATGCCGAGGCCATGAAACCTAACATTTTTTGGTACTGACAAACAGTGCGGTCTTGACCTAGACTGACTTTGCTCATGGTTAGCCGAATGGTCTCTATTCGAGAGGGAGACAATTGTGCCCGCATCGTGATCGAATCCCAAACGATCACAAGATAAGTCGTTCTCTGGGCAGGAGAAAGAACACTTCTTGTTGTTGAGTCTCAACCCTAGAGAAACTAGATGAGCTAACACGATGTCTCTGTGTTGGAAGTGCCATCTTTTGCGATTGTGCTAGTATTAGCCAGTCGTCTATATAATTCAAAATGCCCTGGAGTGCTGCATCCATGCATTTTGTGTACGTGCAGGGTGACAAGGCTAGGCCGAATGGAAGAAACCGAAATTGGTATGCTTCGCCCCCGAACCTCAGAAACTTTCTGTGTTGTGGCAATATTTGTATGTGAAAATATGCGTCCTTCAGATCGATCGTGACGAACCAATCGTGATGTTGAATTTGCGACACGACCATCTTGATGGTTAACATCTTGAACTTGAGCGCTTTGACTGTATACGGTTTAAGCCTTGAAGATCTAAGATTGGACGCAACCCCCGTCCTTCTTGGGAGCCAGGAAGTATCTGCTGTAATAGCCCGACTCCCTCTCTGGAAGAGGAACATGTTCTATGGCCTCTTTGCTCAGAAGAGTTTGTAGCTCTTGTGACAGTATATGCATCAGCTCCGGTCTCAGGGTAGTGGAAACCACGTCATTGAAACGTGGAGGACGATGAATAAATTGGATTCTGTATCCTATTTGTACTGTGCTTAATACCCAAGCAGAAATGCCTGGCAGAAGTTTCCACGCTGCCAGACTTTCTGATAGTGGTATCAACTTTAACACTTCCTTTTGATGGGATGTTAGATGTTCCGTGTCCTGGATGAAAGCAAGAAGCAATGGAACATCTAATATTTCGCTGGAAACCGCTGCCCCCCGAAGCACCAGAGGTGGCGGGGATGGAGAGGTTTCGTGGGGGTAACGAGGAGGGGCAGTCAGATATAACACATGTCCCATCCCGCAGGGGGCTACCCCCACCAGACTGCGCGCCAGACCATCAGGACTTCTTCTTTTTATTTATAATAGTCCTGAGGTCTGGCCTGGGAGGCTGCTGAGTGCAGCGAGCGGGTCCCCCATCCTTACGAGGGGGAGCGAGTCTTGCCACACTTGCCACACTCTGCACACTCAGCACCAGCCTGACCTGCAGCTTGATAAGCTTTAACCACAAGTGCCGATGTTGTTCTGCACGGCTTCAAGGGGAAGGTAGGTCTCTTGAGCGTCTCTTGCTCGTCAGGCAAACCCATTCGGGACCCCACGATGATAATGCGGGTGCGGACTGAAAGTAGCCAAGGCGAGCACAAAGCATTTTAACTGTGAACAGTTCACAATGCTTGCACTCTCCTGACTCCAATGCAGCGATCGCATGCTCCTCCCCCAAACATACAAAGCAGTAAGCGTGTGTATCCAGTTCTGACATAGGACGAGAACATGGAGGGACACAGCGCTTACTCTGTTGCTGACTCATGTCTCTTTTTTTTAACTCTTTTGTTAGATCGTTCAGAGATGAGAAAGAGAAAAAATCTACACACTGCCAGTTGTAAAAACTAAATAACTCCTAACCAAGATCTGTAGTAGACAGAGTGCACACCAAACACAGAAAGGTATCTGAAGACAAAAGACCTGACGATTCACCTGTGGCTCATCTAATTTAAATCTATATTACCTCCGGTTCGGTTCCATCGACGTGTTTACACACTATATTCACAGCAGGTCACGATTAAAGACGTTCCCAA